ATTATTTGCATGCAGTTGGTTGTAATATCGTGATGTCTTAAAAATCACTTTGTAAAAATATTTGGAAAAAATATATTTTTCTTCTCTGCAACAATTTTTTTTCATTCGGGGAAATGTCTTTTTTTTACTTTCGGGGAATTGTCCTTTTTGTGTATTCGGGAAAATGGTTTTCGGGGAAAAGTACATTCGGGGGAATGTTCGGGTACCGTTATTGGCAAATAATGAGCGAACGAAGAATGCCGTTAACGAATGAGAAATCGCGAACGCAAATTTGATAGATTTTAACAATTGACGAGTTAGTACTCGACACGCGAGCAATTTAATAACATTTAAAATTAATTATTAATTGTAGTATGAAAGTTATAATTTCATGTGGAGTGATAGTATAACATTTTTTGTAAACTTTATAAATTTATGCAAACTATTGTATTTTTTTGTGTTTTTAATTTGTTTAAATAATTAGCAATTAATAATAATAATTAATTATTATACATAGTGACTTTTATTTTAACTGTACAGTCGCGTAATTCTAACGACATTTAAAGTTGGTGGATTGTGTTGAACAAACATAAAAATGTGTTATCCTTTTTAAACTGACTTACTTTTTAAATAAATTGAACCGACGGTGACCAAAAGGGCTTATACGAGGTTTTCATTGGCCCCTGGAATAGCTGGAAACTCGCTGAACGCGGGATCCAACGAAAGTCACGCCAAACCTTTTTGGTCGCCGGCGATTTAATTGGTTTCGACTATTATATTCGCATATCAGCGTTTACATTAACCCTCGGAGCACACATCTCTTTTTTTAAACACAAACCACACTCATTGTCAGAGTGACTGTGATCCTGAACATTTTTCAAAATAGTGGTACAATAAAACAAAAATAAATTCGATATTAAAGTTTTTAAAAAACGAATTTTTGCCACTTAATGAAAGTGATTTTTACTTTTTTAACGACATCTACGCGAAAAATAACTGCAGCATGGTATTCGGGGAGAATTGAAACGAATTAATAGAACCTAAAACAACCATTTTGAGGTCACAAGAAATCTAATTGTTAAAATTTCTTAAAGAAATTTAAGGTTAAACTAAAAGTTGACATAGACACTGTGTATGCTCCAACGGTTAATTACTATTTTTAATTTTATATTAATTACAGGTTTCGTATGAATAAAACGGTAACATTCAAACCATTGTTGTTTTAATAAAATTTTACTGCAACGTTTCGAAATCTAAATGATTTCCTTTTCAGGGAGTCAAATTACAAAAAAATTAAATAATACTAATAATAATAATTAATTAATTATTAATTAATTAATTATTACATCAAATTACAATAAATTGTCAAATAAACAAATACAATAAATGATAAAAAAATACAATAAATAATAAAAAATAAAATAAACTACAATAATAATCAAATTTTAAATAATCTTACCAATTTAAATCAGATGTCAAGTCATAAAGTTAACAGTCATTTGCGGTGTCAAATCAAATAAAAACAACCCTAACATTAGAGAAACATAGAGTTTAAAGCTTGAAGTTTGAGTCTAAAATTAAACAAATTAAATTTACTTTAAATAAAATTATTTAAATAAATAAATGGGTGTAGTTCCGATTAGCCCAAATCTCCAATCTTTTCGAAACTATGTATATCCACGTATTTTGGTGCGCTGATTACGAAAATCATAGTGAAAATTGGCGCAAATTTGATTATCATGGTAAAAACCATAAAAACACCATGAAATAGTGGTTTTTTGCGATTAACTCGTAAAAACGCAAAATTTCAGAAAATGTTTTAGACAAAAGTTGTAGGTCTCAAAAAACACATATTTTATGTTGTATACATTTTTTACTAAAAGTGATTATTTTTCGAGAAAAATAAAAAAAAACATCAAAAATAATGGAGAAACAGTGCACACCATAACAAGAGAGAAAGGATCCCACCCGACTTTGTCTGAAGAATACTTTCGACCATATCCGACCCCTCTCACCAAAGTGTCTTTAAAATACAAGCAAGCAAAGCTATTCACCCATATCCGACCCCTCTCGCCAAGGTTTTTTGAACTTTTTTAAAAAACTAATCAGTTAAGGTGAAAAATGTATAGGACATACAATGTGTGTTTTCTGAGACTTACAACTTTTGTCTAAAACATTTTTCAAAATTTTGCGTTTTTTATTAGTTAATAGCAAAAAACCATAATTTTATGGTGTTTTTTATGGTTTATAACATGATAATCACATTTGCGCCTATTTTCACTATTACTTTCGTAATCAGCGCATTAAAATACGTTAGTATATCTACAAGTACCAAATTTCACTCTACTTCTGATGTACACTATTTCTCCATCATTAAAAATTTTTTTTATTGGTTTTCTTCATTTTTCTAATCGGAACTATATCCAAATTCATATATAATTGTAGATAGAGTGAGAAGGAAAAGCGTTGTTATTTTAGTAGAAAAGAGAAAACTGATTTGTTTCTCCTTCATCAGAGTGAGAAGAAAACTTTTCCTTAATATTTATTATTTAAAAAGACAATATTACACAAATAATTACTTTTTTAGACAAAAAAATTAAATTTATTGTGCAAAAAATGTTTGGGTTAAAAACACATTTTCAATTTTTTGAAAAAGTGACAAAAACATTAGGTGGATCATGAACACATACATGGGTGAATTGTACATCAAGATATTTTTAAAACATATATTCAATTTAAATTTATAAATATTAAGTCGATCTTTTCAAATTGATAGAAAACTTTCTCAGAGATATGAAATGCATAATATTATTCACATAAATTTAATTTTTTAAATAATTTTTATAAATCAAAAATAACATATGCTTAAAAATGTTACGTAATTTTTAATGATAATATGATTTTTATTCAATGTGCATTTTACGGGCTAATATTAACACATAAGTATTATAAATAATTTTCATTAAATGCAATGTGGCATAATCTTAAATATTTTTTAGAAAAAAAGTTTAAATATTTAATCTATTATAAAAACTTTTATATGATAAATAATTTGGAAATTTCCTAATATTAATATTAAATTCAGACAAATGTTATATAATAATTATATTTCTGATAAAAATATAATGTTTTTTTAGTGTTAAAACTCAAATAGACGAACATGTTGCAACAATATAACATTATTTTAAATGGCAATATTACAGAATATTGATTATATCCGCCTATCGAAAATATTGTGTGATGTGTCATTTTGAAATGAATAGAAATTAAGATAATATAGAAAAAAATATATATCATATATATATAATTTTTACTTATACTGTTTATATTTATTACATTTCTTGAATACATGCATAGAATTAGGCCCGCATAGCGCGCCAATTGTATACGAGTATCAATGAAAAAATGTTAAAATTTATTTTTCTCGAAAAGGGCTGTGGTGATTATTTTTTTTGTTTAAAAATACTCTAGGACCCGCAAAGATTAAAAATGCACAAGAAATTTTAGAGTGCAAGTAATTTTCATTTGAATCAATTTCAGGCGCACCGTGGTACATGATCATATACAAGACGCCGCACATAAACTTGAACCTTAAGACGGAATAATTTCTATTTTATAGAGATCCTCAAGGGTGAGTTGACGTATGTTTCCCCTTCCACTACTATTGCAGGTAACCGGAATCGGAAGTGATGAAAAAATATAATTAACTATTGATCAAAATATGCGGCATCTTTTAAAATGCCTTTAATAAAAACCATTTCAAACAACCGTGCTCATTTCGAAACAATCAAATAAATTTTGGATTAACTTCCGATTCCGGTTACTCTCTACCAATCACAGTTCAGCTCCACTTGCGTCAAATCTTACTTGAGGATCTCTCCTTTTTTACAGAAAATAATTAAATAAGAATAAATGATCAAAAAAAATTTTATTTGTATGTATATTTGTATATATGTATTTGTATGTATATTTGTATATATGTATTTGTATGTATGTATAACATATATACGTAGATTTGTTTGAAAATATTTTTAGTTTGAATTTAACACTTGACAAGTTAGTTCTGTGACTACCTTTAATTGACCAAACTGTGTAAGATTTTAACGGTAAGTTTTATATTTCTTATAAATTTAACATTACGTATACCAAAAATTGCTTAAAAAAATTAGACATCTCTAGTTATGGAAGCCGAACTTAAAAAAAAATATGCCAACGTTACTCGACAAATCATAAACGTGTACTTGAGTTTATGCGAACAATGCCAGTTGAAAAAAAAGTCTTAATAATGTAACGTGCAATTCAAAATGTCATAATAATAGCTCATGTAAAAATAAATAATTGTCATCATAAATAAAGTTCATCAATAAGCAAAAAAAAAATTGTATCATTTACTACTACAACGCGTAGTAGTTTAATATTAAAAGAGGCAGAACGCGTTGTGGCATTTCTTGATTGCCACAACGCGTTTTGGTCGATTATTAAAAGAGCCACAACACGAATTTTGCTTTGTGACCCTTTTTGAATTGCCATAACGCGTTCTGTGCATTTTTGGTTATGCCACAACACGAATTTCGCGTTGTGGCTGAATTGAAACGGCCACAACGCGTTGTGGTCGATTTTTTCGCTCAATGAGCGTTTTCGGTCTTTGAGCCTAACATATATTTCAAAGAATGATATAGAGATGCTATCCTATCATCACAGAAAAAATCTGGTCTCAAAATGAGTAGCGTATGCTACTTATATTGAAGTGCAGCAAAAATGAGTCAGGTTGGTGGCGCCACTTTCTATGTCGTTTAGCATTGACTCATTTTGAGTTGCAACAAAAATGACACTAAGTTTTTTTCGTGATGGTAGGAATCTGTCAGGGGGAATTTTGTTTCTGTTAATATTATTTTCAAGTAGATACTTATTTGTTTTTCGGCATTTTTCTATATAATTATGCATAAAATTAATTAAAATTATTATTTAAAAGAGATTTGAATAATAATAATAAGAAAATATTCATTTAAAATTAAACTTGCCTTGATCGCAAAGATCCCCAGACCATCCTTCCCTACATATGCATTGAAAAGAATTGACCAGATCTACGCAAGTTCCTCCATTTATGCAAGGATCTCCCCTACAGTCATTAATATTTTCATGGCAATGGACTCCAGTGTATCCAGGATCACAAATACATCTACCACTGCTGCATCTACCTCTTCCACCGCAAAGAGATTCCTCACTTCCACATCCTAGACCATCATTTGAGTCTCCAAACTGAAGGTGATGTGTAGCCTGCTCGGAGCAATTCTTCCCTTGCCACTGAGGAGTGCAGTGACAATAGTAGTCTGTCTGAGTATTAAAACAAGGAGATAAATTTCTACAGGGATTAGGACTGCAATGATCTTTATCAATCTCACACTGATATCCAGTATATCCAACTGGACAAACGCACTCATAAGAGTTTACGAGGTCTCTACATTCACCATCATTTTTACATGGCTTGGAGGCACATTCGTCAATATCAATTTCACAGTCTTTTCCTGAATAACCAGGTGTGCAGGAACAATGATAGTCGTTAACCAGGTCGATACATAGTGCTTCATGTTGACACTGACCTATACAATCGTCCATGTTCTTTGTACAATTCTTTCCAGTAAATCCGCTTCTACATCGACATCTGCAATTAAAAAATTTTAATAAAGTCACATATTAATACAGGAAAAATTATGTTTTTTTTATTAAGGTAGTACACTTGCAACAGTCACTTCCAAAAATAAAGTTCAATAGTAAGCTTAAAAAGTTTTGGGTAACTACAGCTTGTTGCTTAAAATCTTTTTGCCTGTCTGTATACTGTGTTACAATTAAATAAGTTGCAGAACACTTTGAATCGGATGTAATTTTTATTAAAAAAACAATTTTAATTGTTTAAATAATTCGAAAAGTATATCTTCGATTTATTATCACTTAAACAATATTCATGATTTTTATCGCGCTTTTAAATGAGGGAGAACATGTTTAAAAGTTATAAACAAATTTTATTTTTTAAACAAATTGTTTAAAAATTAATATTTTTTTCAAAAAAATATTTTTAAAAATATTTTGAATTTTTTAAAAATACTTAGGATTTCTTTTTTTGGCCCTTAAAGGAACCCAAATTGTTCAATTATATAAAAATTTATCAAAATAGCCTAAATCTGTGCGATCATTTGACGTGGAGTCGCTCAATGACGTATAGTATATAGTTCTGAAATTGTAATTTTTTCAACAATATTATTCAACTTTAACTGATGTTTATGGCATTAATGATATTTAAAAACTTTTACTTCATGTAAAATTGTAATGATATGAGTGTGAGTAGTCTCACAGTACACTCACACCATTAAGCAAGGATCACGTAAAGAGCCAGCGCGAAAGCAGTCCCACCATGCGACCCGTTCACTCTCCCTTCCATAGCGCGCCTCTCTCTCCCCACTATCTTACAGCTCAGAGCCAACTCTATAAACCGATGTCGACTTGAAAATTTCGACAGTTCGCCTGCTGCCGGGCTACGAGGAGCTTCTCATTCATCTTCCTGATGTCAATATCGGTATTCCAGGTCTGAGGAGCCTCTCTGCCTGGAGAACCGAAAAACCACCCTTACTAAGGAATCTTATACTTAACGAGGAGCTTCTCCTAGATACAAGAATCTATGCAGCATCCTAGACAATTGGGAGCTTCCAAGGTCTAGTATGGTGCGCATGCTACCTACGCGATCGGTCCTAGATTCGTTGAGGTGCAGCTCTGGAATCTGAGACTGGGGGATGATTTCTTCCTACTTCTGGGCGCCTCCAGGACTAGGGTGAATTTATCCCAGCTAATTTTAAATGAGAGTTAACAGGATTTTTTATCACAGGGCTCTTCCTGAGTAAAAATGAATGACAAACTGCACTTTACATATTAGATTCTCTCTAATGGGAAAGGCTCTATTGTGGAGGCGGTAGAGTCACTGGACGACATTTTTTTAGTACCAATTGAAGGCAGTCGCGAGCCAGGGAAATTCTCATCTTGCAGTCCGTTGCAAGAAACAATTTCTGCCCCCCTCCTCTCACAGTCCTGTTGTGAGAGAGTCGTCCAGCATTTAGAGAGAATCAGTAATTAATATCATAATGGCTTTATTTTCGTTAAATGTCGGTTCGACGAATGATGTAATTTTCTTATTTTTCGTTCAATGTCGGTTCGACGAATAATGTTAATTACTTTGATTCAAAAGAATATTCTGTTGACTCAATAAAAATACCTTTACATTAACATAGTTTTCTATCAATTTCAGAAATATGCTTATGTTTCAATGACAGTGACACTATCGAATCATTAAAATCGGTGCTTTCAAAACAATGACATATACGTTAGGCAGCCCGGTATGACACTATTCATAGAATCAAATCCATATGTCATTGATTCAACAACATTTTTTTCTCAGTGTACGGTAATGTTGACCACAACTAACAACTGTAAAAAACTATGAGTTCTCAACATGACTGACCGGTGCCTAAGTCAATTTTGGTTAATTTTTACGGGGAAATTTGCCTAAGTTAACAAAGATGAAAAACCAGAGAGTCGATTATGTAATTTCATTTCTATTCCCACTTCCAGTTTTTCTAATTTTCATTTCCAATTCCGTTTCCACTTCTACTTTTATATATTCATTGCCACTTCTACTTTTCTAATTCTCATTCCCACTTTTTCGTACTCCAACTCCCACTTTCATTTTTTTTAAATTTTCATTCCCACTTCTAGTTTTTTTAATTTCCATCCAATATAATTTAAAAAACTGAAAATGTATGTGTCAATGGAAATTAGAAAGAATAAAAGTCCAAATAGAATTGAGAATGAAAATTAGAAGTGGAAAAATGGAAATAGAAGTGGGAATGAAAATTAGAAAAAGTGGAAATGGAAATTACAAAAGGGGAAGTGGGAATGAGAATTAGAAAAAGTATAATGAAAATAAAAATTGGAAATGGAAGTGGGAATGAGAAAAAGTAGAAGTGGAAGACCATATTCACTGTTTTTTTCTTAGAAGCATTTTTGTATTGCTTCTGTTTCTTGATGAAATTAGTCGAAATGGAAGTGCAAAAAATGAATTTTTATAGATGCTGCAATTCCATTTTTGAGGCTAGCTGCGTTTTCCTTATACAAAACATAACATTTTTAAAATTAATATTTACAGAAAAACTTATTCTTAGCTAGACCAAGATACAAAAAATTTTCAAAACTTCTTAAAAACATTGTACATAAAACAATTAAGAATAAAAAATTTAGTAAAACTGATAAACTTAAATTTGTTATTAATCTTGAAAATAAAAAAACTGCAATAAATATCGCCACAAACGCCGCCGCTGTTTCAAGAATGAACGCTCGGCGAGCATTTCGACGCTACGCTGGAACTCACTGTACTCTTCTATCATTCACCTCACAAAGCATTCAACTCGCATACCGTTCAGAATTTGTCTAGAGAATTTCAGAAAATTGAAAGCTACGCGGGAACTCACCATACCTATATTATTATTTAGTTTAGTTAGTTTGGAAATGGAGTTAGTTTAGTTAGTTAGTTCTGATTTTAACCACAAACTCATCGACCTCTTGACGTGAAATGACCCATCGCAGTCTCTAGGATTATACTAACCATGTCAAAAACATAGGTTAAAAATAAACATAATATCAATACTCAAGGTCACACGACAGAAACATAAATGAAAACGAACATAACCTCAAAAGCAAGGTCATATGTAAAAAACTATGGTTCTCGACGAAGTTGAGACTGAAATAACCTCAAAATTAATATCACAGGTCAAGATATGACCCTTCCTCTAAAATTTCAAAGGTCATATGTGAAAGGCGAACACAACCTTAACATTTGGTCAAATACATAAAAAAAATATACTAACATAACCTCAAAATTACGGTCGAAGGTTAAAAGGACGTCATTCGCGGTGCAACTTGGAAAGAAATTCCTTAAAATAAAATAATAAAAATTTTTCTTAAAGATTTTGGCTAAAACCAATCTTTGAAAATGTATGAAAACTTATTACGTGGCACACGTGACAGCGCATATAAACACTCAACTGTCAGTTGAACAGACGTTGTTGATTTTTTGAAATTTCGTTGGTGAAAACTTTTGTTTTGTTATTTTTGTAAAATGAAAAATAACATGTGTGTGGTGAAAAACTGTGGAACAAAACAGGTGTGTGGTGAAAGTGCAGTTGGACACAAATTTCCAAAGAAGGAAGCAATTGGAAATACATGGTTGCAATGTGCGGGAAATGAAGATCTTGTAAAACTCTGTTTTCAAGAAATAATTAAAAAACGATATTTTATATGTGCCAAACATTTTTCTGAAAAATGTTTCTTTTACACGGGAAAAGGTGTAAGAAAATTATTTAGAATTTCCGTGCCAACTTTGCATCTACCCCAAAAATTGAAAATGGAAAAAATTGATTTGGACGAAAATAATTCATCATCGGTCAATGTGGACATTGGTGAACAATGTGACATTGGATTATTCATCGATTGGCGACATGAATTATGAAAACTGTTTTTCGAATGTATTGGTAAGTATTTACTTTTTTTAAATCATTATTAAAAAATTTATAAATTTTATTAAGGTTATGTCAATGAGTAGATCTTCATTACATATATAAATTTTTAGTATATTTCTTTTTCAAAATTTTTAAAGATTTTTTTTATGATAGTATATTCTCGAAAATGCGAAATATTTGATGTGTATTGATATTAATATAATTTCTTAAAACTTTTTATAAAAATTTATTTATCAATATATATGTGTCATTACATTTTATCTTACCTATAGTCGTTGCGGCCTATTTTTAAGAAAATCTTATATTTCATAATAATGACTTTTAATATCCGTACAATTCATTTTTGACAATTATTTTATGAAATATTTTTTTTGTTTACGTTGATATTTAGTTTTTAAGTTGATTTGCAGAGAAAATAGGTTACTTTATCCGTTTTAAAAATTTAATAAAAAAGAACACAATAATTTAGTTGTTAAATTTCTTTTTATTGATATTTATTGAAAATAAGTCTTATTAACCAATATTAATCTATAATTGTGTAAAAAAGGCGAAAATACTACGTAAAAAGTAATACATAATAATAATTATTTTTTTTATTTTTAATATTATTATATTCATTATTATTATACTATTATTAAATTAATATTCAAACTTATAAGTTTGAATATTAATTTTTACGTAGTATTTTGGAATTTTTTCCACAAATATGGATTAATATTGGTAAATTAGACTATTTTTCAGAAATATCAATGAAAAAAAAATTACCAATTATTTATGTTCTTTTTTATTCAATTTTCAAAGTTGTCATCTAACCTATTTTCCGTGCAACTCAACTTAAGAACTAAATTGTAACATAAAGAAAAAATATTTCATAAAATAATTGTCAAAAATGAATTGTATGCATATTAAAAGTCAATATTTCGAAATATAAGATTTTTCTAAAAATAGGCCGCAACGACTTTAGGTAAAATAAAATGACTTATACTTTTTTTCATTTTTAAGACAGTTTTTTAATAAGCACAATTTGTTATAGATGGATGATTTAAATGAGAAAAACAAAAGTTCAAACATCTCATTGGGCGAAGAAAATCACCCACAAGTT